ATCTATCTATCTATCTATCTATCTATCTATCTATCTATCTATCTATCTATCTATCTATCTCCATCCATCCATCCATCCATCCATCCATCCATCCATCCATCCATCTCCCAGCAGTTGGTCCGTGTGGTCTGAAATGGTATAGGGTCTTTTGCTTGAGCAGGGGATTGGACTAGAACAGTGATGGTGAATCTTTTTGTTGTGGTGTGGCAAAAGCGCAAGCATGCGCTGGCACCCACAATGCAATGTGCCCCCTGCACATGCACATGCAACACACACACCCTGTCTTCTTACCTGCACTGTGCAAGCGCGTGCCTCCCAGCTGATTTTCGGCCCGTTTGAGGTCATTTTCGCCCTCCTGGAGGCTCGAGAGAAGCCTCTGCAGCCTTGGGAGGCCGAAAAATGGGCCTTCTGGAAATACTGGAAGTGCCCGTTTTCAACCTCCAGAAGGCCTCTGGAGCCTGGGGAAGGCTGTTTTCGCCCTCCCGGAGGTTCAAGGGAAGACTCTGGAGCCTCAGGAGGCTGAAAAGAGGCCTGTTTCGGCACTTCCGGTATTTCGGAAGGCCTGTTTTTCAGCCTCCCGAGGTTGCAGAGGCTTCCCTCAAGCCTCCAGGATGGCAAAAACAGCCTCAAACGGACCGAAAATCAGCTGGGAGGCACGCGCATGTGTAGTGCAGGTAAGCTTGCCTGGGGGCTTTTTCACAGGCATGAGGAGGTGAAGCCACATCTTCAGGTTTCTTGTGTTTATATCATTCTTTATGAGAAGTTGGAATAAGAGAAAATAAACTTGCTATTGATCCCAAGAGGAAAATTTGAATATGCATATCTCTCTATGTGTGTTTGATTTATATGTTTTGAATTATGTGTTTTTCTCCAGATACAAAGGCCCCCTTCTGGATGAAGAAGCTCTTAATAAAGCAGCAGAATGTGGTCTGGCTTCTGAAGATTTTTGTGAGCTTTGTGTTTGGCTAAGTTCCAGAATACAGCCATTATGTAACCTGGAAGAAAGCATCTCCTCAACAGCTGGTATTTCTTACCTGATTTTTATTTGAAACTGTTGGAAATATGCGTATGGGAAATAAAGACTCATAAATTGAAATTAAGCCATTAAAATGTCATTACAGTCACTTCCATGTTTTAAAGTAACATTGCAATGGAAATTTTTGTGGTGATGTTTGACATTCAGCTTTACCTTTAACATGACACTGAATTGTTGAGCAACCCACTTGTTCTTGCAAACAAAATAATGATGGCTTTCTTGTGCAATTCTAGCACTTTTTTATTGTTGCATTTATCTTCTGCTGATTGTAGATTGTAGATTAGTTAGCAACTTTAATTGATTACATAAGCAAATTAGTAGTCAGCCAGGAACCCATAATCCAACAATTCATCCCTATTTTTATATCTTATTAAATTATAGTTGCAATCAATATGTCAAAAGCAAACCAATTTTCAACTGATTTAATGAACTTAAAACAATCATGGTTTATTCCACTAATATGATGTGACTTCATTCATTCATTATATTTAGCTCAAAGAAATATCAATATGGTTTAATAGGTGATGTGAATCCAATTAATGAGATACCAAGTAGAGAGATGATAGCCTTTGCTGCTGACATCTATACACATTTTTTGTTAGTTCAGTTTTTAAATTTCAAGTACACCGAGGAAAGGATTGCCGGTTGATCGTTTCCTTGTTCTATAAAGGCTAAAACAAAGCAGCAACATAGTTGAGTACTTTCCTCCAAATGATTATCAGTTCCAAAATAGGTGATGCCTGTCACTGGAACTCTGTGTTATGCAAATATAGTTTATAACTATTTACATGTTGATTATAATTGATATTCTCTAGAAATGCCCTTGTGTGATTCTCTCTAACTTTTTAGCTTTTTTTATGGTTTATAATTTGTGACTAGTTCTGTTTTCAATATTCTTAGAACTGGTCCATGAATTTAAATTACAGGATTTTCTCTTTTTGTCATGAAAGACAAAAAGGCCCCAGTAAATTCAAATTGTATCAGTTATATTTCTTTGTCTAGAGTACAAGCCAGTATAAACATGTTTGCCTAAGATGAATATTATTTACGTATTTTTTTTTGTGGATTTACTTTTTTAGAGGATAAAGTTTAAAGCATATTAATAGGATACACATAAACATACACATAAACAAGTTGTACTTTAATATGTTCCATCTCAAGTAAAGCAGATAATTCATTACTATCAAAAGGACATAGTTGCAGAATGACGCTTGCTCAAAGCCCTTAAAAGACTACTGATTCTGGATTTTATTATAATTGTGCCTAAAATGGTAATGGAATTGAAGATGTCTAATTCTCTCTTAACTTGACTTTTTTTAGGTGGTGAAGATCTTGAAAGTTTACAACTAGAAATGAGTGGCTTTTTAAAAGAACTGGCTTGTCCATATTCCACACTTGTGTCCGGAGAAATTAAAGACCGGTTAAAAAACAAAGAAGACTGTCTTAAAGTCTTGTGTAAGTTAGTAAGTTCCTTGCTGCAATATTATATCTGCTTGCTTTGTTTCCTGAATATTTCCAGAAAAGAAAGAAATCTTTCTGAAAGTTGCTTCATAGAAGATTTGAACCAAGCATACAGAATAAAGGGACATAAGGCAGGAGATAGTTTTTTATTTACTTTTTAATCATCTTATCTAGCTGCAATCTCAAATGACTCTGAGCAACTCACATTATTAAAAAAGTAAAGAGTAATTTTAAAAATAAAAATATTTCAATACTCAGCAGTTGAGAAAACAGTAGTGTTGGGATACTTAGAATATAGCCGCTTTATACTCTTGTAGACCTAGATCCAAGCCAAGAACTAGCAGGGATGGGGCCAATCTGATCTCAGGGAGAGGAGATAAGCACTATACCAGAAAAGGTTTGTCTTCTGAGCCCTGCCAGCTACCCTTCCTTAGGTAATGAGATCTAGAACATACCCATCATGCCAGACTAGACAGGATGAGCTGAAACAACCGGGGGAAGATGGGCCTGCATGGAGGATGTCTGCCTACTATGTTATTAGTATTTGATTAGTAGTATATTCATTCCTATTGCTAAATTACGCTAAGCAAGAACAGTGATTCATAATAACCAAGTGATGGTGGATGAGTTTATTGGTATTAATCCATTAACATTTTTTCCTCTAAATAATGGATGTTCTGTTATAAAACTTACTTTTAATCTAGTTTTATTTGTTTCATGCCTTATTTTTATTTTATTTAGTTTTATATTTATATCCCAATCAGCATGGCAGGTCATTAATTTTTTTTCTTTTTGCTGAAACACAAACACCAAGTTAACATATTTCTTTTCTTCCTCATTTTATAGTATTTTTAAGCACAGAACTTCAGGCTTTGCAGATACTACAGTTTAAACAATGTAAAGGTTCCCATTTGGCAAAGAATGATGAAGTTCATCAGGAAATCCAGATGATCTGTGATGTTTTAGGGGTACCAAAATCATCAGCATCTTCTGACTTTTATTCTCTCCCTGTCTCATTAAACAATATAGAATCAAAGGTATAGTATATTTTGTACAGTTGAATGCTTTATAATTAGTTTCAATCTATTGTGAAGATAATACAAAACAATAGTGAAGGAACCACCAAGGAGGAAACTGCACTCCCACCAAAATGGCAGAACAAGTTACTGTATATAAATAGGCAGCAAACTACACACACACATTGATGATGTTACCTAGTTAGGCAGTGAAATGTCAGCCAAGCTTAGAAAGAACCAAGAACTTTACAATATTTAATTTGTTCATATTTAATTTGTTCATCTAATTTCTATGCTTCCCATCATGCCACAGCAACAATATATGTATAAAAAGAAACAATCTTGTACTGGAATTAAAGTCATTGAATACAAATCTATAAAACTAGAAAAAGAGGAATGTTGTGGTCTGGCACCCATGTGGGGGTCAGACAGGTAACTTTTGGAAGGGTATTCCACAAGGGTCCCACAGCTAAAAAGGCTTTGTAGCAATTTATCCCATTTCATTTGGTAGAGGAACCCAAAGAAGATATATAAGGGAGGTGGCATTTAACATGCAACAAGGAAAATGCAGAGCTCTTTGGGTGAGCTGGTTACTTATTACTCCATTTAATTTCTCCATAATTGGGAAATGGTGGAAGATTGTATTTACCCTCTCTGGGAAATGATTTATTTCTCCATCTTGTCTACCTGTAGTAAAGAGTGTATTGGCTGCACATTGTATCCAATTTCTGCTGATGGGTGTTCCATGCTTTAATGTAATTACTAAGATATATAGGAAATTATTTTTTGGAAGTCATAAAGGTAGAGAGATGTTTTTTCTACTTTTTTTCAGCTTAAGGATGTTTTGTCAAAAGTTCCAAAAGCATACATGGAGAAACCTCTGCTGAAAACTCCCTTGAATACACAGCAAATGGTAACATCTTTTTTTTTTAAAAAAAAAACTTGCATATGTAGTGGGCATACAGATTACTTATTGGATATGTTATATGCTATATTTAGTTTGTCTGCATTTTTTTGAATATAGCGATTTATATTAATTGATGTTGGATTTGATTGATTGTACCATTGAGTCAGTATCGACTCTTAGCAGCCATAGAGACAAATTTTCTCAGTGATCTGCCCCCATCCTGGTGCTTTACATCTTGTTAGATTTAAACATAAGTAATTTCTACAAAAGGATCACTTTAAGTGATTTCTGTTTTCTGTAGAAGCAGTTGGAAAAAATCAATGAGGCTCTTCTCACTGAATATGAGTGCCGCAGGCGGATGTTAATGAAGCGTTTAGATGTAACTGTACAGTCTTTTGGGTGGTCTGATAGAGCTAAGGTGAGTATGTTCTATTTTTTTTTAGTTCTTGTTGATTGAGTAGAATCCCGGTGTGGAAGATGTAAAGACAAGAGATTTTCTGTTATACAGAAGAAAGAGAATTCCAATTATTTGTTTCTCCTTTACTCATTTACATTTCAACAGATGAAGCACTTGGCCATATTAGAGGCATAGAAGCTAAAAAGGGCCTTAAGTGGGAAACCATGAGTGGAAAACCAAGAGTGCTGTAAGCTTAACTCAATAGTTGCAAATCACTCTCAAAGAAGAAATGGCAAACCATTTCTGTGTTACAACTAGTGAAATTGCATGGATCAGTGCCTATAGTAACCATAACCTTCCTTGGCCTGAGTATATATTAAAAATTTCCAGGCAAAAAACAATGTAATCTTACAATGTATGCAGGTAAGTCATCGACTTAACAACAGTTTACTTAGTGATTGTTCAAAGTTACAACAGTACTGAAAAAAGTGACTTATGACCATTTTTCACACTTATGGCCATTGCAGCATCCCCATGGTCATGTGATTTACATTTGGACAACTGACTCACATTTGTGACACTTTCTGTGTCCCAAGGTCACGTGATTCCCCCTTTGCAACCTTCTGACAAGCAAAGTCAATGGGGGAACCAGATTCAGTTAACAACCATTTTACTAATTTAACAACTGCAGTGATTCACTCAACAAATGTGGCAAGAAAAGTTGTAAAATGGGGCAAAACTAACTTAACAAATTTCTCACTTAGCAACATAAATTTTGGGCTCAATTGTGATCATAAGTTGAGGACTATTTGTATTGATACTGTAAGATTATTTTTGGGATTTTTTTCCTGAAAACTTTCAGTGTATGCTCTGAAACACTTCTGATTTACTGATTTTAAATTAATATTAGAATATTGAATATTAATTCAAAGATACATATTCAATTAATATCACACACAGACATATACATACATACATAGATATAATCTTGAATTTGATAAAAGTAATTTCTGCATGAACTCTGGCATCGGAAGATGAAAGCTTATGATATCAGGTGAATATAAACTTTAATTAAAATGGTAATTTATAAGTTCCTGTTAATTGTATAATCTGCTTTATCTAACCTACTTTAACTGCATTATGGCATTCTTTAAACAATCATTATTCCTAAGTGTTTTAGCAACTTTTTCTTTGTCATTAGGAGCTTATTTGAAACTAAAGTGCAAAGTGGAAGCTAATAATATACATGACATAAATAACTAGTTCATAGTGCAGTAAAGTTAAACTTCCTAATGTCACTCCGTAATAGTTTTTGTAGCTATTACAAATGTCTATCCATTTTCCTAGGTGAAAACAGATGATATTGCAAGGATTTATCAACCCAAACGTTACGGATTGACTTCTAAATCAACAATTTCAATAGCTCATCTTCTAGCTGCTCGTGAAGATTTGTCAAAGATCACAAGAACAAGCAGTGGATCTACGCGGGAAAAGACTATTTGTGCAATCAATAAGGTATACTTTTCATTAATGCAGCAGCTATAAATTTCTTGTACTATTGAACCTTTAAGAATTTGTGCTAGTTCTCAGAAATTTTAATGTTTCTGGTAATTTGCAAAATCTCAGGAATCCCTTGCTCACTGTTGCACTACATAAAATACAGTCATGTATATTTAATACATATTAGCCTTGTATTTTATACTCATTCTTTATAATTGACTGTTCAATCATAGATTATTTATACTCTTTTAGAATAATGCAGTAATGGAGGAAAACCTAGTGGTTTTAACCACAGACATGCATACATACATAAAGAAACATGCTTTCTCTCCATAATTTGATATTCCAAAGTCAAGGAAATATGGACTTACTGGGCTGTATATGTTTTCTGAACAGGTCTTGATGGGAAGAGTACCAGATCGTGGCGGAAGACCAACAGAAATTGATCCACCGCCTCCTGAAATGCCCCCATGGCAGAAGAGACAGGATGGGGGTGGTAGAGGAGGAAGGGGAGGTTGGGGAGGAGATGGTGGAAGAGGAAGAGGCGGAGGAAATAGAGGCGGTGGTGGGTGGGGTGGGGAGGGTGGAAGGGGTGGATGGGGTGGGAGTGGTAGAGGAGGGGGTGGGGGTGGCTGGAGGGGAGGGGGTGGATATCAAGGGAGGGGTGATTATAGTGGGAGAGGAGGGTATGGGGAGTCATATGGTAGAAGGGGAGGTGGCTATAGAAAATACTGACATGTTAATGTTGACCGACATGCATACTGTGAGACCAAGATCTCGGAATACATTATCGCTGATGGGCAAATGTGATGCTTAAACTGCATTGATCTTTCTTACTGATGAATCCTGGTTGTTCCATTCATTCAAAACCACCTTATACAAAATTACTTTTCACTGCAGGAATGACTTCTGTCTATCCAAGCATATGTACTCACACATTTGTCATTATCAGCAATATATACATGAATATACATGGAAGCAATGACTGATGGAAAACCTTTGGGTTGCAAATACACAACAAAATTGTTATGTACAAGTTTGATGTATAAATCTGATGCTAAACTTGCAGGGTATGTGGTGTTTTCTGTGCAAAACCCATCTCTCTCTTAAAAGTGTGTAATGTCCTTAATTATTTTGGCTCAGTTCTTTTTAGTTTCTTTGTTTTACATTATTGTTCATCAGGATTTTTATTTATTTAACAAGGCTGCTGAAAAAGATACGACCCTGAAATTGATATATGTCCTATCCAACCTTTCTGGTATTGGCAACATACCAAGCAATTAAAGAAGCAACATTGGATTTAGCTTACTGAAGGTACATAAGGCACTTCAATCAATATAGTCTGCTAGGATCAGTACTGGTGTTCTGATGGGAATGTTCAGGCGATAATGCTCTGATTTAATTCCTGAGGACACATAGAATATTTAAATAGCTTCATAGAATGTATTATGTATCCCATTACCACTCAATTTTTCTGAAAGAAAGGCCAAAGCAGACTTTCTTGAACAAAAGTGTTTTCTTTAGTTCTTGGTTTAGCCAAAGATTATGGTACATGTGCCTGTTGAAGTATATAGCTTAGCAGAAACAGGAATCTTTTGACTGATTAATGGAGCAGCTATTTCGCACATTTTTTCTGATCTTAGTTGACTGCCATGTTTCTTACAATTCTGCCTGTTAATTTTTTTTTTAGATTTTAAGTTCATTGTTCTCATGTGCCGATTATGTGTGCCTGTGTTTCTCAACTTTTGACAACTTTAAGAAGTTGGATTTCAACTCCCATGCTGACTATGGATCTCTGCAAGTTGATGTGTATGCATCTTAAAATTGCCAAGGTTGACAAATACTGATGCACACTAAGGTATTATTCCAGAAATTATATGGTATAGAGTATTTTATTTTAGCTGATCATAAAATGAAAAGCAAGACAAACTGTTCTCCTGAGCCAAAAGTGAAAAGAGATTATTTTTAACTAGTTAAACCTGTAATTGTTTAATATTTCCTGACCATACCAAATCAGAAAAAACATTTCAAACTAAGTTAAGGATGAATAATAATTTCTGGTAATTGTATGCCTGTAATTTTGACAACCTCTAACAATGCAATAAACATTCAATATCTTTTATATGTTTAAATCTGAAAGTGTATTTTATAGAAGGTAATATTCTTTTATAAATAGTTTGTTTTAACAGATATCCAGTGTTGTGTTTCTGTTCATATACACAGAACATCTATTGAAAAAAACCTATCTTTTAATAGCTACCTAGAAAATGGTTTAAGTAATAGACCATTTACAATTGTGAGCACTGATAAATAAAATATAGTAAAGTTGTTGCTGTAGTGTCTTACACATTAGTAGAGATGTAATAGAAACTTATTCCTTTAAAAGAATTTTTCATTCTTTTGTTAAAAAATTCTTAAATCCTTTTGCTACTTATATTTATTTCATATATACCTAAAAACACATTTAATTTTGGAAGACATGCCCATTCTGCTGATATCAAGGTGGTGTTAAGTGGCTAATATATGGTTGGATATATATGGCAATCTATGATCAAATGCATTTGAAAAATTACAGGTTTTCTTAAAATACTGAATTTTGAAATGGATATTTTTAGAATACTTTTATTAAGATTTGACCATATTCAAATGCAAAATGATTGTTTTCAGTTTGGAATGTTTTGCTTACCTTGAAAATTGAAGTGTCCATACCTACTTTTGGCTATCATTGAAAATCAACAGATCATTGTTATTCTTTGACTGATTGATCAAAATTTGAAGAAGCAATCGTTTATTTTGTTAGCCATTAGTTACAGAGAAAAGAAAAATATCCATATTAACTGAAGACCTAGTAGAGCTTTTACAGAGGGCAGACATACCTTCGTATTATCAGTTGTACAGTGTTTGGCACTGTAGGAGAGAGAGGAGGGAGAGAGATGATAGCCATAGCATTGGATAAGATAACTTTCTGCTGGAATTCAGCAGATGTCCAGTTTTAATTCTGAATGTGTTCGCATGTTTATAGCTAGTAATCAGTAGGCATTTCTGATGCTTAATTTTCTTTTGACTGATACAAATACTAGCCATCACCACAAGGGGGCACCTCCTTTAAGCAACATGCTCTGTTGAGCTAGGAAAATCTTGATACATTATGTCAAAACTAAAGTGACCAGATACAGTTCTACAAGCCATCACTTAACAGTATTTCTTTAACCAATGCAACCATAGATAATCCCACACCAACATATCTGCTTAATTTTAATATAAGGGAAAATTATACTTTTATTATATTCAGATGCAGTGCATTTTAAATGATAGTTTTTGTAATAATTTTGTTTATAGGAGGCGAAGTGGACTAAAAATGTTATTGTAGTTTTAATTTCAGAACACTTGCTATATAACATGACAACTTGAACAATAGAAAATACTCATAATATGATTTCACTGCTAGCAGATGCAAAATTTCTTCATGAAATGTATATACCATAATTAGCTTGGAGAGAGGAACTGCAAATGATTACTTAATCCAAGTTTACTTAGAATTGTCACAGAATCTACTCTCCTTAAGCATGACCTTCCCATGGCAAGATAAGTGCAAAAGACAGAGAACTAGGCTCAATATATCCTTGGTTTGCCATCTCTCTTTTCCTCAGGATAAAGAACTTACATGGAAATGGAGTCATTAATGATCAATAAAATCTGTCTCAGTTGTATTGGTAAAATGCAGTATATTGTAAATTATTCCAATCTTCCTTGAAGAGGCTGACTATCTAGTTGAGTTGGAACTTACACCTCTCTCCTGATTTGGCTAATCAAGGCTTCCCAGGGACTGGCACCTTGATTTCTATAAATTGGAACCAAACAATGGTTAATGCCTCTTTGCAGGGAGAGTAATGCTTGCCTTGGAGGTGATCCACTCCCTTCTCAAGAGCACATCCAAGTACTATATTAATGCTCATTAATATTTATCTAAATGGAAACTGCTGGCTGAGATCATTCAGTGGCAAGGGGTGGAGTATCAAAAGTGATATTGGTGATACTAGTTATCGATCTCTACCTCTAGATGCTGCTGCTGCTGAGGTGATGACCCAGCATCTAGAGGCTGTGAGGATCTGAATGGGGAGGAACCAGCTCCAACTCTACTTTAGCAAGATAGTGGGTTTGAGGCTTTTGCGCCCCGCCCCCCAAAAGGTCTAGTGTTGTGTCATGAGATTGCACTTCTCTGGACAAAATGTTCAGTTTTGGAATTGTAGTTAATTACAAGCTGATGGGAGACAACTTTTTTAAAAAGGTGTAGTTGTTACACATCAATAAATTTAGTTTCCATATGGAAGGAAATTCTTCCACTACATTCCATACTTGTCAGGCCCTACTTCAACAGCCGCTTAAGCTAGTACTGGGTGCTATGAGATTTAGAAAAAGTTAAAACAGGTGAAAGGGCAAAGAGGTTGATGAGAAAACTGGAATATAAACCTTTGAGCTGAGGGATCTTGGATGTTCAGCCTTAAATGGTAGAACTTCCCAATTGTTGACATTGGAACCATTTACTTACCCTTACACTGGCTGTGTTCAACCAGAAATCAGACAAGCTAACTTTTAATTTAAATTCATCCACTAATCAGATTCAGAGTCAAAAGATCCCTTCTATAAAGAATTATAAAACACTACTTATTACTACAAAAATGCATTTTTATCCATGATTATGTAGTGAGAGAAGCACCACTAAATCATAAAAACTCATTCTGGAAAATATAAACGTCTATATAAATCTTATCAGTCCATCTTTCCATTTTCCTTGCAGGATGAAAATAAAACTATTCTTTTCCCAGCACATAACAGAATCACCTTGTGTAGAGATAATTCTTGACTTATGATTAGTTGTTTGAAATTATAATGGCCTCGGAAAGGGTGTTTTACAGTCTGTAAACCACTTTCAACCTGTGATGACCCGGAGTGTGTCAAAAATATAACAAAAACCAAAGCGTAAATAAAGGTCCTTTAATGCCTTCAACTTGGCTTCACTGTTTAATTGTTCACAGTTGAAGATTAAATATTTTCAAAATAACATTCCAAATGAAAGAAATACAGTTCAAATTCAAAGAGCAGGTAATGAAGCAAAAAACAAAAACAAACCGCACTGAAGAAAGTTCCACGACAGACCAGGATAAATAATTACCAACTTCAGGAAGATAACCAGGTACAGTCCGTTGGAAGAACGCCAACCAAGATAAACCTCATCCAGGAATAAAACACTAATTTGTCTCCAGTGTTTGTTAGCACACAGGTCCAAACTCTTATGCAGATCTCATACCTGCAACCCATGAAGAGGATCATGGCCCTCTTCTCCCGAGTAGACCATGTTTTTCCCTGATCCTCTCCTCCCTGTGTGCCCTAGGATGGATAGGATATGGGCCTGGGTCCTCCTCTGATTGCTCAGCCGACCTCTGCCCTTCACCAGTCTCCTCCACCACCTCTGGAGTCACACTTCCACTCCGTTGGCTGTTCCTCCCCCTCAGAGTCAGTCTCCACCAGGAGCATGACACAACCATTATAAAATGTGTTACTCCCCCATCCCTTCAGAATGTGCTTCAGAAGCACATTCAGTTGGCTTGCATTTATGATCAATTACAGTGTCCCATGGTCATATAACTGATTTGCAAAAAAAATGTTCCTTCCCTTGAGAATGGATTCACTTAACAACCATGTGATTTACTGAAAGACCAATAGAAAAATAGTAAAAAAAAAAAAATCAGATTTGGTCAAATGAGTGCCATGACCTACAACCACAATGATTTATGATTAAAATTATGTTCATATGTTGACAACTATCAGTATGAAACATGGTACGTATGTGCATGCGCACGCACACATAGGCTGGGACAAGAAAAAGGTGTGATACATGTCATACCTGTCAACATCCCCTTAAAGAGGTATCCTATGCTGACTGCTAAAAGTAAGCAAATGTTGGAAAATAATACAGACAACTATCCAGTGCTGTCAAGTGAATTTTCATTGCTTCAGTTCACATTTAGTGTATAACTTCTAGTTTTCAGTTGTCTTAAAAAACATGCATTGATCATTTTTAATATTATACAATAATTTACATTAAATAATCAGACTTGCCTACATCAATTGGAGACATTTTCTGAAAAATATTTAAATTACAAAAGCTGCTATTTAAAGAATCTAACAGATTAAGTTGAGCCTTACAAGGAAATGTACAAATATAATAGTACCATGGCATTACTCAAAAAAAAGAGTAACTATATATTACACACAAAGTACAAATACCATTTTAGCTGGGTAAATATATCATAAAAAAATAAATTACATTTGGAACCAGTGTCTTAAAATCATTGTAAATAAATAGAACAAAAGTTACATGAAAATTAACAGTATGTTACACAATATTTTATAGTGTACTACTAATTTGTCAGTTCTAGAATCATTACAGAATGCAAATTTATACATTTCCAGAGAAGAACTCAAGAACTCAATGACAGTTCCATGAACAGAAGAGCCCATAACCGTGGCAGTATGAAGAGACAGCAATTTAAACCAGCTGTTTGTAATTCCTTTCCAGACAAGGAAAACACTTGAGATCACCCACAAGTAATCCAGACAATTGCGTCTTGTGAGGGGGATACAAGACAACAGTCACCAGTGGCTTTGGAGGTCTGGCAGATGAGAGAATAGCCACTTTGCTCAAATCGTAGTCAGTGCCTTTAAACAGACACTGGGTTTGTATATTTTTCTTTTGTGATCAGCTTGACAAATTGTAAAGAATGACATGAAGAATGATGTTATGTTGAACATACAAAAAACCCAGCTGATTTAACAATGAAAAGGGATATATACACAAATATCAAGAGAGTGAGCTGGATAATTTTCCCATTTTGGATTTACAAAAGAGATTTGTTAAAGCTTTGAAGAATTTTGTGAGAGGAGAAAAGTGAAGAAAAAAAAAGCAAGTTTTAGGACATTATTTGAAGAGACTAAAGATCAACATTAAAAGTAAAATGAAGGAACATAAAGTTGGCTTATGTTCAAGGTTAAAATAGATACGTTATCTCTGGTAAACCTTAATTGACTTTTGCTAACACCAGGACTGAAATGATGAGAT